CACGTGGTATTGATTCTAAGAACCGAATTTTCGTCCTTTGGAAGAGCAGTAAGCGCTCCTCATCAGCGAGCCACATCACCAGCCCCTTTCTAGTTAAAATGTTATTCCTTTGTTCTCTCTGGAAATGATCTGAGGAAGAGAATCCTATTTTTGTTGCCTTTGTTAGTTATACCCCCTAATATCTATCTGCCTCTATATTTTTGAGGTTCAGTACAAAATTAAAGTATGGCAAATGGATTAGTTACTTTTCTCATTGCTGTGACAAAATACCTGACAAAAGCAACTTAAGGGAAGAAATATTTACTTTGGCTCACTTTGGGAGAGGATACGGACCATCATGGTGGGGAAAGTGGCAGCTCGAGCTTGACACAGCTGGTCACCTTGCATCTGCAGTCACTTTCTTCTTTTTATTCAGTCTGGAACCCCAGCCCGTGGGACAGTGTCACCCACAGTAAGTTGAGTCTTCTCTCTTCACCTGAGCCAGTTAGAACTCCCTCACAGACATGCCTAGAAGATTGTTTCCTAGGAATTCCAGGGTCTGTTGACCACCACAGAGATCCTTGTTCAAAGACAACAGATACACATTAAAATAGGCAGATCTCTGTGAGATGGAGGCCAGCTTGGTCTACGTAGTGAGTTCCAGGCCAGCTCAAGCTACAAAAAAAAAAAAAAAAAAAAAAAAAAAGCACCCAGTAATTATCTATTGACTATTGGCTTACTAATATATATCTTTTGTTCTAAAGACTAGAGAGTAAATATTCATAGATCATAGCAAGTCTACACTATCAGCTGTCTTTTCAATAACCAGTCTCAAATGTTTCTACATTTACTTCTGTGTGCCTTCCCATTCCCTAACTCCTCAGTGTGGTCCAGAATGCCAAAGTCTAGTTAGTCTTAAGAAAACAGATTAATTTGCATGTCATCTTCCATCTTTTTTTTTTTTTTTTTTTTTTTTTTTTTTTTTTTTTGTCTTTTTTTTTTTTTTTTTTTTTGGTTTTTTGAGAAAAGGTCTCCCTGTACCCCCAGCTGGCTTTGGAAATAGCTATGTGGACCGGCCCCCCTGCCCCCTTCTGAATGCTGGGATTAAAGGCATACACCACTAACCCTGGCTCTTGTCTTTTGTCTTTTTGAGATAGAGTCTCCCTGCAGCCCCTGTTGGTTTGGAACTCCTTATGTAGATCAGGCTGACCTTCATCTCACAGAGATTCTCCCATCTGCTAGGATTAAAAATGTACAGCACCAAGCCTGGCTCTCATTCCGTTGTTTTTTTTTTTTTTTTTTTTCAGATAGGGTCTCTCTGTAGGCCCTGCTGTCCTGGGACCTGGAACTCACTATGTAGACCAGGCTGTCCTTGACCTCACAGAGATCCGCCTGCCTCTGCTTCTTCAGTGCTGAGATCAAAGGCATGTGCTACCATGCCTGGCATTAGCACTTCCTTTTTCAACACTACCTGCAATTATTTTGGCTACATCAGTAGAAATAGCCAAATGAATATACAAAATATATAGGCTGCTGTCATCTAAAAATGATGGTTATGTACACACGGCCTCAGTAATACTAAAATATCAGAGTAGGAGCAGCTGAAGATTCTTGGACAAGCTAGTTCACTTTGTATCTGGGAAGTCTCGTATCACTGATGCAGACCAGACCACGTCAGAGATATGAATAGCTTGGGCTGAACTTTACTCGGTACTTCACAAATCAATGACAGGTAAGCCTTTCCCCTCAATCCCCTACGAAGTATTTTTTCTCCGTTGAAGGAACACACAGGACCCTTTCCATCAATTGCTTAACTCTGAAGCTGTTGGAGGAAGGTTTTTTGAAACCAATACAAGTATCTGCAGCAATGTGCTGAGTCCCCACATGCATAATCGTGAGTTTTTAAAAATAAATTTCATTTTTGGTCCCTTTCAGTCAAAACGTAACTCATCCAATCATAAATCATGATTGTTTGCCCGAGGTCACTCCTATAGGACTTCATTTTGCCAGAGTCAAGTTTCTTACTGCAGTGACACTTTGGATCCATTCCACACAGTGCTACATTTTTTTTCACCCTTAAGTGCGCTGAAATTTTTCCCCCATGATACACAGCAAAGCTTTTTTTTTTTTTTTAAATTTTCTTTATTTTTATTTTATGTGTATGTGTGTATTGCCTGCATGTAGGTAAGTGCATCCGTGTCGTGCAATGTCCAAGGAGGTCAGAAGAGGCTGTCGGATCCTCTGGGGCTAGAGTTATGGACAGTTTTTATCTGCCATGTGGGTACTAGGATTTGAACCTGGGTCTTCTGCAAGAACAACCAGTATTTTTGGGGGGGGGGCTTTTTGAGATAGGGTCTCCCTGTAACCGTAGCTGGCCTGGATTCAATATGGAGACCAGGCTGGCCTCGAACTCACAGAGATCCGCCTGTCTCTGTTTCCCAAGTGCTGGGACTAAAGGCATGCACCACCATGCCCGGCACAATAAGGAGGGGGCTGGAGAGATGGCTCAGCAGTTAAGAGTACTGGTTGCTCTTGCAGAGGACTTACGTTTGATTCTGAGCACCCACATGGCAGCTAACAACTGTCTAACTCCAGTTCCAGAAATCCAATGCCCTCTTCTGACCTCCAAGGGTATTTCATGACATGGATGTGCTTACTATACATGCAGGCAATACACTGATACACATTAAATGTAATAAATAAATTTTAAAAATCCAATAAGGAGACTGAAGGATTTTTTTTGAGACAGGGATTTACTAAGGCCCTGGCTGGCCTGGAATTCACTATGTAGACCAGATTGGTCTCAAATTTGTGGCGGTCCTATTATCTCTGCCTCTCAAAGTTCAGCCTCTATGCTGAAACTATAGGCATAAGCCACTATGGTTGGCTTCTTAAAATTAATTTACATGTGAGTGTGTATGTGTTTGTGTGCACGCATCTGTGCATGTATGGAGGTCAGAGGATAACTTCTGGGGGTAAGTTCTTTCCTTTCACCATATGGGATCCGAGTTGCACTCAGGTCCTGTGGCTTACGCTTGTGTGATGCTGGCTGTGTCATCTGTCTGTCCCCTCTCCCCAATTTTTTTGAAAGAGGTTCTCATGAACTCACTATGTAGTTGATGATGACCTTGAGTTCTGATGCTCTTGCCTCCTCCACCTTCAAAGTGCTGGGATTACAGACATGCACCATCACCAAGCAGGGGTTTGAAATGAACCATCAGACCACCTTCATTTTATTAGCAAAAGCACTGTGTGTACCTAAATACTTATCTTTCAAAGGCGATGGTTGTTGTGACAGTGAGAATGCTGAGCACTTTGAAGGCAGAGCCAGGTGGATCTCTGTGAGTAAGGCCAGCCTGGTCTACATAGTGAGTTCCAGGCCAGCTGGGGCTACTGGGAGACCCTGTTTTCAAAAAGATTAAAAAAAAAAAAGTGATTTGTGATTCTATCTGAATATGTATCAGTAGCGGGTCCTAATTTTCTCATTTTATTATTATTATTTTTTTTTGAGATAGGGTCTCACTATGTAGCTCTGGCTGGTCTGCAACTCACTATGTAGACCAGGCTGACCTTGAACTCACAGAATTCTGCTTGCTTCTGCCTCCCAAATGCTGGGACTAAAGGTGTGTACCACCATACTCAGCCGTTCATTCTACTTTTTAGAGACAGGGACTCTCTGTGTAGATCAAGCAGGCCTTAGCTTTGAAGTTGAACTTCTCCTGCCTTTACTTCCTGAGTGTGGGCTCACCATGCCTAGCTCAGTGGTGGGCCCTAATTTAAGGGCAGGAGACTTGAAACTGCATGCCTTCCAGGAAGGAAAGCAGAGCCCAGCTAACTATAGAATACAGGTAAACTTTTCCTAAAGAGGCCTGGCCAGCTGTGAGTCATCTGAGTTTGTCTGTGCCTCCCAAGCTTGGTTCAGGCATCCTGTCACTTTGGCAACCTGCTGTGCAATTCTTTAGGGATAGTGCCTCAATGCCATGACGTCATGTATTGGGCTCTGCTCCACTGTTCCTTTCTGTAGCCTGCCTGTCTTCGCCAGAGGCTACTGTTCTAGGAGTTGGAGGTACTTAGTACCTACCTTTCAGTTTGAGGACTGCTGGCTCAAGCCCTATCCCACTCTCCTTCCTAATGTTTTAGTTACTTTCTCTTATTTTCATTTCTAGTAAAGTCAACTAAATTTATGGTTAAAAATATACTAACATTGAGCCCTGTAAAAACAATTAGTGATTAACAATTCTCATCAAAATTAGGAAAGGTTGGATTAGGGATGTAGTTCATTTGGTAGCTAGCTTAGCAAGTATAAATGGAACTCACTATGTAGACCAGGCTGACCTTGAACTCACAGAGATCTGCCTGCCTCTGCCTTGAGAGTGCTGGGATTAAAGGTGTGTGCCATCATACCTGGCTGACCACTGACTTTTAAACTGTCCAACATGGAGCATTTTATTCTTCATGGCATGCTAACCCAACATTTTTTTTTGGTCTGTGTTTTGAAGTAGGTCTTAAAATACGGAAACTGCATTTGGATTGAAAAGTAATTATTAATTTAGTGCTAATCTATTAGATAATTTAATGACAAAATTAGCTAAGCACTTCCCTATAGAGACTACAACCTCCTAACCAGAATAGCACAACCAAGAAAGAGAACGAAGTTGGACAGCTCAAGTTCCTGAAGAAGTTTTTCTTTTTCTTTTCCAGTGCTGAGGACCAAACTTGGGGTCTTACACAGTCTAGGCAATTGCTATTTCACTGAGTTAACTTGTAGCACCTTTTTTTCTTTTCTTATAAAAACTAAAATTTGGGGGCTGGAGAGATGGCTCAGCAGTTAAGAGCACTGGGTGCTCTTACAGAGGACCCAGGTTTGGTTCCTGTCACCCACATGGTGGCTAACAACCATCCGTAACTCCAGTTCCAGGGGATCTGATGCCCTCTTTTGACCTCTGTGGGCATTGCACAACACTGGTACACTTATACACATGCAGCCAATATACTCATACATATAAAAAACAAAAAACAATGCATGTGATGACTTTCATAGAATCTCATTCAACTGATGATTGCTGTTGGGACACGAAAATCTGACTTCTAGGAATGATGGGATTAAAGGGGAACAGTGTAATGCAGGATGTAAGCATCGGTGACTGTCTTTGTTTCAGATCTGGTGTCTTCCCTAAAATCAAGGAATGACACAAGGGACGATAAGCCCTGATTCCTGATCCTATGCTATATCATGACTCAACTCAGACTGAGATGAAGTCTGAGGAAACAGTGTCCTATCTCATCGGAGTCCCAAGTCTTCAGAGACCAAGATATTTCTGATCTTCCTAAATTTAGCTGTTCAAGATTGTAATCTTCATTTTCCTAATGAAGTTCATTTTCCTAAAGCAGTTCTTTAAATTAAAACAAAACAAAAATAAAAAACTAAATTTGGGGCTGGGCACATATAGCTTACTTGCCTAGCATCCTCAAGGCTCTGAGTTCGATACCCAGTGCTATAAAGAAAAAAAAATTTGGGATAAAGCTATTAGGACTGCTTTAACATTCTATTTGGATAGAAATAAAATATGACCTCGTGAAGCAGCAGGTTTTCATTCACACCCAGCTTTATCTCAAAGAACTGAATGAACAGCAGGATGTGGTGGTGCATCCATTTAATCCCCTTTTAATCCCAGCACTGAGGCAGAGACAGGTGGATCTCTGTGGGTTCAAGGCCGACCTGGTCTACATAGTGAGTTGTAGGCCAAATGGGGCTACTGGAAAACCCTGTCTCAAAAAAACCAGAAGGAAAAAAAAAGAAATGAAAAACAAAAAACAAATTAAAGAATTGAATAATTCACTCTCATGCAAAGAATTACTACACAGAACATAAGACATTGTTGATCTAGTTCAACCATGTGTGTGTTTGTGTTTTGTCTTTTAAATTTTTTCCCTTCTTCCCTCCATTCCTTCTTTCTTTTTTCCTTTCTCTCTCTCTCTCTCTCTCTCTCTCTCTCTCTCTCTCTCTCAGAGGGGGCACCCATGCCTATCACATGTGTAGCAGCCACAGGAACTTGTGGGAGTTCTTTTTCCTACCATATGGATTCCAGGGATCAGACTCAGGTTGTCAGACTTGGCAGCAATCAACTTTACCTGCTAGGCCATCTCACTGTGCTTTAAACATTTCCTGCAGTTCTGGGTGGTGTTGAGTGGAAACTGGTGTGCTGCTTGTGTTTCATTTGAGGGGCCTGCTGGCCACCAGCCTCAGAGACCATTTAAGAACAAAAGTTCTAGTTATGTACATATTTAAAGACATGACATGAGCCGGGCGTGGTGGCACATGCCTTTAATTCCAGCACTCTGGAAGCAGAGGCAGGCAGATCTCTGTGAGTTCAAGGCCAGCCTGGTCTACATAGTGAGTTCCAGGACAGCTTCGGCTATGGGGAGACCCTATCTCAAAAAAGACCCTCCCCCCAAAAAAGAAAAGACATGACATGGAGTTGGGCATGGTAGTGCACACCTGCACACCTTTAGTTCCGACACTTGAATTCCTGTGAGATTCAGGCCAGCCTGATCTACATAGTGAGTTCCAGGCCAGCTGGGGCTTCAGGGACACCTGTCTCAAAAAATCAAAATCAGTTGGTCATGGTGGTGCATGTGCCACCATGCCCATAATCCCAGCATTTAGAAGGTAGAGGCAGGCAGATCTCTGTGAGTTCAAGGTTAGCCTGGTCTATTTAGTGAGTTCCAGGCCAGCTGGGGCTTCAGGGACACTTGTCTCAAAAGACCAAAAGAGAGAAAAAAAAAAAAAAAAGCTGGGCGTGGTGGCGCACACCTTTAATCCCAGCACTCGGGAGGCAGAGGCAGGCGGATCTCTGTGAGTTCAAGGCCAGCCTGGTCTACATAGTGAGTTCCAGGACAGCTGGGGCTACAGAGAGACCCTGTCTCAAAAAGATTAAAAAAAAAAAAAAAACTAGAAAAAATCAAAATAATGATAATGATAATAATAAATCATCATAATAATGACCACCCAGGCTGAGACAGCTGGAAGAGAAGACTGGGGAGAAGATGTGAAGCTGTAAGTGGCAAAGGAAATGAGAAATGAGATGAAGTGGAGGTGAGCCAGAGTGTGGGTCTTGGAAGCCAGGTGAAACAATAAGACAGAACAAATCAAAGCTGTTCCTAGGAGGAGTGAGTTGTTCACTGGTGGAATACTGTTGGTATGACAAGATGGGGTATAGATTGACCACTGCCTCTTAACTTTGTGATGCACATTTGACTCATTTTATAGAGAGAAAAGTCATCCTAGGACCACAGTCCAGGACCTGTTTCCCCATTAATACAAAGTTGAGAAGTCTTGCTGTTTTTGGACTTTTTAGACGGGGCCTCCCTGTAGCTGCAGCTGGCCTGGAACTCACTATGCAGATCAGACTGGCCTCTATCTCACTGAGATCCACCCTGTCTGCTGAGTACTGGGGCTAAACGCATGTGCCACCACGCCCAGCTGAGAACTGTTTTATACACTGAAAATGTTCCAAGTATTTCCTTCACTTTTGAAGGGATGTATCACACCACTGTGCCTTGCCACCCTCTATTTCTCTTTTCTGCACTCTCCCGAGAATTCCCTTTTATTATGTTCTAGAGGGCTTGATCAAGACGATGGGCAAATGTCATAATTAAATGAACAGTGTGGGAGACCTCTGAGGGCTAAGCCATGAAAAGGAGCTGTAGTTTCTTATTGCCCCTAGAGTCTGTTCCCATAGGTTCACGGGGTAGCTTACCATGAAGTGGCCAGAAGTCACTACCAGTAAATGTCAGGATATAATCTGTGGTTGGCCTTTTATAAAGATAATGATAGATAAAACGATGTGGTCTTGAATTCTTTGCTAGTTAAAACAGTCATAATTTGTAAACATAAACCATCTCAACTTGACTTTATTGTTTTAGGCGAAAAGGTTTATATATTTTATTGTGCAGCATTCCTTGTATTTTTTCCAGTAGATCTGCTAGCTGACAGAGAGTTCAGTGAGAGTTAGCTTTCCGAGCGAGAACTGGAAATCCTTTCAAGTGGGTGAAAGAGTATTTATTTCTATGCATTGAAGAAATATTTGCTGTCTGTTAGAAGTGAAACTTTTGAGACAAGGTCCCATGTCCCAGACTGGCCTTGAACTCAGTATATAGCACAGGATGACCTTGAACTTTTGATCTTCTGCCTCCATCTCTGGGATAACAAGTGTGTGCTGCCATGCTCAGCTTTAGAACTGAAACCATTTTCTAAAGTTTATTGCTAACTTTTTGCCTTCCTCCTTTTTAACTTATTTAGCTATAAAAGCTATGGAGGACCAGTCCCGGGGAGGGTATACCCTTCCAAATATACTTCAGTGGAATGTTTTGAATTTTTTCTTTCAGTTTTTTCCTCCTTTTTTTTTTTTTTTTTTTTTTTTTTTTTTTTTTTTTTGTAGCCTGACTATGTAGCTCAGGCTGGCCTAGAACTTGAAATCCTTCTGCCTCAGCTCCCCCACCTCCACCCCGGCCCTTAGTGCTTGGATTACAAGGATGTGCCACCCAGCATTTATTCCAGTAGTTGAAGATTCTTTTTTAAAAAATATTTATTTATTTAATTTGGTCAGATGTGGTGGCCCATGCCTTTAGTCCCAGCACTAGGGAGGCAGAGGCAGGCAGATCTCTGTGAGTTCAAGGCCAGGTTGGTCTACATAGTGAGTTTCAGGCCAGCTGGGGCTACAAGGAGACTCTGTCTCAACAAAAGACCAAAAAAAATTAAAGATTTATGACTTATTTATTTAATTATATGTACGTGTGTGTGTCTGAGTGTACATATGTACACAATGTGCATGCAGACAGGGGTGACCTACCATGTGAGTGCGGGGAACTGAACCCAAGTCCTCTGGAATGCTCTAAATCACTGAGTCGTCTCTCCAGCAACCCCCCGCCCCCCGTAGTTAAAGATTCTTTTCTTTTGAGACATGAGACAGGGTCTTCCTATAGCTCCAGCAGGCCTAGAACTCGCTATGTAAATCAAACTGGCCTCAACTTCACAAAGATCTGCCTGCTTCTGCCTCCCAAGTGCTGGGATTAAAGTCGTGTGCCACCACCCCCACGCTTGGCCTAAGTTGAAGATTCTATTCATTCATTCATTCATTCATTATTTATTTATTTATTTATTTATTTATTTATTTATCTTTTCTGAAACAGGGTCTCCCTGTAGCCCCACCTGGCCTAGAACTCACTTTGTAAACCAGACTGGCCTTGAACTCACAGGGATTCACCTGCCTCTACCTCCCAAATACTGGGACTACAGGTGTGTGCCACCACGCTCAGCTAAGTTGAAGATTTTTTTTCTCCTGTCTTTCTGAGACAGGGTCTCCCTGTAGCCCCAGCTGGCCTGGAACTCACTATGTAGACCAGGCTGTCCTCGAACTCACAGAGATCCACCTTGCCTCTGCCTCCGGAGTGCTGGGATTAAAGGTGTGCACCACTACATGGGGCTAGGTTGAAGATTCTTAAAGACATTATAGCCAACTTGAACCAGGATCAGTTCCATTTTGTTTCTCAGTTTTCAAGTCTGATTTGTCCTTTCATTCCAAGGACAAACAGCCACAGAGCACCTTTTTCTTTTGTTTCTTTAAGAATCATCTCTGTGTATTTGGGTTGGCCTTGAATTGGTGAGCTTCGTCTCAGCCTCTTAAGTGCTGAACTATAGAAATGTATCATGATGCCCTGATCTCACACTCTGTTCTTGACATCAACCAAGTGATAATAGCGCTCTAACTCAATAAATAAAACCAACTTTCATCTCATGGATTCTATAAAACAGCTCCTCTTAGGCGTTTATAACGTTTTCAGGGTGAGATGGTTCATGATTGTAATCCTAGCACTTGAGAGGAAGAGGCAGGAGGATTACTGTGAGTTTGAGGCCAGTCTGGGATACATTGTAAATACTGGGCCAACAAAGGTACCATAGGAAGACTGTCTTAGAACAAGCAGGCAAGCAAACAAGTTCACTAACATTAAAATTAGTGTTTAAATGCTGCTGTGTTTTCCCTTTGAAAATGAAAGGGGCCCTTGAGCTGTCTTTAGAGATAGCCAGCCC